GCAAGTCATGGACTGGCAACATTCGTATTTTTTACTGTCTGAAACTTTTTATAAATGTTTCTTTCTTTCTTTCTTCTTTCTTTTTCGTTGTATGAGTATTAAGTATTCTCCAGTGTAGACCTTAAATAGGGTTCAACATTAGTTGCTCATATTTTTTAAGTGACCGTGCCAGTACAAATAGGAAAAAGCCACACGGGAGGATTTTTTTTAACCACAACGAAGAAGCTCTTGGCCTGTATCTCACCTGATGGTAAGTGACGATCAGGCCGAAGGTGGAAGCGAGCTTCACCCGGAATCCTCAACCACGGAGGAACTGGCTATCTTACTTTAATCAAGTTTTCCGAGATTCTATTACAGTCATTTTATAAGGTCTCGCTTGAAGTATGTACTTACTACAATGGCAAAAAAGGAAGCACGGTCACTGTCTCTTTCAGTAAACGAGTGTATGCCTTGCATTAGAAAAAACAGTTTTCCTGAAAATAAACTTATAGTGAAATTCAAGTTAGGTTTGAAATTACTTACTTTATTTTCGCCCTGAAAACTAATAAATGTTCAGTAAACTGCAGCTATCTGATTTTTAATTGCTTTGAAATCAATAAATATTGAGTCGAGCTTAGTCTATCACTTGGACCACGTCCATAAATTGGTCAAGTCAACACTCATCAGCCGCTAAATGGCTGCAATTGTGCAATTTCGATCGATCGCCTCCCCATCGACTCGCGCGCAGAATCTACACGCTTCGCAAAAGCACAATCAAACAGAGTAAAGTATAACTTAAAAAAAAAAACCGACTTCAAATGCGTGAACACAAAAAAAACTAAAAATTAAAAATATTGCGTATAAAAAAGTTCAACCCCAATTTTCCACCCTTGGGGTTGAAATATTTTCTTCAAATTCGCATGAAATCACCCTTTTGATAATACCTATTCAACAAAAAAATAATCGTTCAAATTGATTTATAATCGGCGGAGATATTGCGTATAAAAAAGTTCATCCCCAATTTTCCACCCTTGGGGGTTGTTTTTCTATTATTAAATTTAAATGGGACCACCCTTGAGGTATTACCTATACGCCGAAAAAAGATTTGTTCAAATCGGTTCATAATTGGCGGAGTTATCGCGTAAAAACATAGAAAAAAAAAACATACGGTCGAATTGATAACCTCCTCCTTTTTTGAAGTCGGTTGAAAATATCTCCTGCTCTTCTTATTAAAATACTAGCTTTTGCCCGCGGCTTCACCCGCGTGAAATTTAGTTTAGTCACAGATCGTCATAAATTATATCCTGTATGTTATTCTGGGTTATAATCAATAATACCTACTGTAAAAGTTTCATGAAAATCCGTTCCGTAGTTTTTGCGTGAAAGAGTAACAAACATCCAGGCATCCACACAAACTTTTGCATTTATAATATAGGATCTACATGTGTGTTACTAACAAAACCAGGATATGAGTTTGTCATCTGTTGACACATATTATTATTTATAATGAGATTCATGCTACATATAATACCACAAACTGATTAATAACGAAATCTCGAAATCTCAGAAACTAATCATAATACCTAGGTACAAACTTGAAAGGCAGGTAAGTTACTTAATAGTATGTAGACACCCGCTAAGAAAGGATTTTAAGAAATTCCGCCCCTGAGGCCCTTTTCACACATCCCGGTTGCCGGCTATCCGGCGCCGGGTACCCGGTGGTGAAGTGTATGGGCATGATACGTAGCTTTCACATGTTCCGGCGTAATTAATCCGGCATGCCCATACATTCACGACCGGGTACCCAGCGCCGGATAGCCGGCAACCGGAACGTGTGAAAAGGCACTAAGGGAGTGAAACGGGGTCCCCACGTAATAACATCTCACTAATTAGCAAAAACTAGTTAATTAAAGAGTTCTATTTTCAACCGACTTCAAAAAAGGAGGAGGTTCTCAATTCGACCCGTATGTTTTTTTTTTTCTATGTTTGTTACGCCATAACTCCGCCAATTATGAACCGATTTGAACAAATCTTTTTTCGGCGTATAGGTAATATCTCAAGGGTGGTCCCATTTAAATTTAATAATAAAAAAAACAACCCCCAAGGGTGGAAAATTGGGGATGAACTTTTTTATACGCAATATCTCCGCCAATTATAAATTTTTTTTTCTATGTTTGTTACGCGATAACTCCGCCAATTATGAACCGATTTGAACAAATTTTTTTTCGGCGTATAGGTAATACCTCAAGGGTGGTCCCATTTAAATTTAATAATAGAAAAAACAACCCCCAAGGGTGGAAAATTGGGGATGAACTTTTTTATACGCAATATCTCCGCCGATTATAAATCAATTTGAACGATTATTTTTTTGTTGAATAGGTATTATCAAAAGGGTGATTTCATGCGAATTTGAAGAAAATATTTCACCCCCAGGGGTGGAAAATTGGGGATGAACTTTTTTTATACGCAATATTTTTAATTTTTAGTTTTTTTTTGTGTTCACGCATTTGAAGTCGGTTTTATTTTTTTTAAAAGTTAATTATCCTAAATTGCTTTGGGAGCGTCAAACAGGTATTTTACCTTCAAAGTTAATGATTTACCTATTTATTGTATTAAAAATCAAACTTAAAAAAGTTACAAAAAAAATATTGTGTCTTATTATCGCTTCAAAATGGAAACAAATATGAAAACATTCAGAGGAAAACGAGATGTGTATCTCAGCTTAATGAAATAATATAATTTTTAACCCCAGTTTGTATTTTGGTATTTTCATTCACAGTGTGTTTGAAGGTTAATAAAAACGCGACTTATCATGCAAAGATCGCGGAACAACAGTAACTGGCAGAATTCACTTAATACATGCTAGTGCTTGTATAAATTAAGTAAATTCTGCCAGTTGGTAGCACATCTCTTCAATATACATGTGCTGCCCTCCGACGTGCTCTGAATAATGAGGTTCCTCACATTACACACGTTTTGCAGTCTCTGCCATTATAGCACGACGGCTTCCTTGTCTATGGAATTGTCGTTAGTACTTACACTGACTGATCACTCTGGCATTTTATGACATTGTAATTAGTGCGGTTTTCAATATTCATGTTAGTTTGTCGACTGAACCATTAACGATACAAAGCTAATTTAAACACTGTAGTTAATTAAGTAGTTATATTTTAAATTAAAGGTTCAAATGGTACTATTGAGTAATTGTAACACAACTAAGGTCTCAACACTGATGTTTATATGTCTAGCATGTCTTAATCAGACTGATTGCTTTTAATTTTAACTAGCTTTCCGCCCGCGGCTTCGCCCGCGTGGAATTTGGACTGCCACAGAAAAACATTATCGCGCGCGTCCCTGTTTAAAAAACCGGGAAGACAGACAGACAGACAGAGTTACTTTCGCATTTATAATATTAGTATAGAAGTATAGATAGTATAGTCAGTCAAACCTTGGGAGGCTTCACATCCAAATGACTTTTCTATTAGCAATAACATTTGAATTTTGACACCGCGTCCCGTTAGATGATAATATTGTCAAAGTTGACACCAAAATATTGTATCACCCGCCCACCGAGTTGTATTGAATTTCGTTTATAGCTGTAATTTATGATTATTGTTACGTTAGTGTATTTTGTGATATTTAATGATTATCAAATGTATAAAGTAGATATCTATTTTTAAACGACTGCAAAAAAAGGGATTAATTTTATAACGCGGATAATACTTATTGCCCCCGGGTTTTTAAGTCTTGTATAGAATGATGTTTAAATATATTTTTAGGTGTAGCCCTTAACTCGGTCCGTACCTGAGGTATGGAAGTGGGTTTTTGTAACGTCAAACGTCAGCGAGACTTTAGACCTCCTTCAGATTTAAATGCTTCAAATTAGTTCAATGAGGGCTATCGTTTTAGTGCTCACCAGTTTGCGCCACTGTAGAGTAAGGTCCTGTCACTTGCAGTGGCACCAACTGGTGAGTGCTAAAGTGGTAGGAGGACTATCGCATTTGCACTCATCAAGATGGCGCCACTGTAGAGTAAGGTCCTGTCAATCGCCAGGGGTGCCAACTGTTAAGTATAAAAACGATAGCCCTCATTCAATGACGTCATAATATGTCAATTGTCAATGTCATCCCTCCCGTGCTGCTTCCATACCTTAGCCACCTTTGGCTGAGATTGATATTCTAGTCAGTTGTTCGAATCTAAACATTGGGGTCAAGGTTATATCTAAGACTAAGACGAAGATCTAGGTCAAAACTGTTCCTTCTTTTAGAACAGGCATTAATTATAATATCTACATTACTATTATACAAGTTAACACGACTTACAAAATGAATCTGCATACGTATAAGTAGGTATTGTATTTTGTATTTTAAAGGATTTAGTAATACCATTACTTGAGTAAGTATTGCAAAAAAATTGTTTTGCATGAGCATGGCTCGTTTTCTCATTGCGCGCCCTTGACTTGCGCATGTAAGACTTCAGTGTGAATACTAAGTGCTAAATATAGACGAAAGTAGTAGTAAATAGTACAGTATTTACTACAGTAAACAATACTCTCTTTACGTATTAAAGTTACAGTTAACATCAAGTGTTGTAATAAAGAACAATTTTGAGATAAAACTACCAATTCTTGTTGAACTTTTTTTAGCTCTATTTTATTTTAAACTTTTTAAACTTGTCCTGAAACTATGGTAGGGCTTAACTGAGACATGTAAAAGGGTTTTTAAAAAGCCTAATTTAAAAATAATAATTTTATGACATTTTATAAGTCCTAAAAATAAATCACACACGTATTGTTTGTAAAAACGGAGTTTAGATTTACTTAACCCACATTTTTACATTGATTTGAGTAATAATACCTACTTAAACATAATATTGCAAAACATTGACAAAGATGCTACCTCTTATTGGCCTTGATTATTGTTTTGAACCTTTGGTAGGGCTTAACTGGGACGTGTAACAAGTGTTTTAAAAATTAATTGCAAAATCTAAATTACTTTTATAAAATAAAACTTTGCACTCACCAACAGCGCCGCCTCGAGTGAGTCACAGCACTCAGCACTGCACCGACTGAACCATGCTCACTGCGCACTCACTGGCTTGTTCGGCAGACATCACTACACACAACACTGGGATTAAGTTGCTGTCGAACCTGCAACAAGAGAGAGAGACAATAGTTTTAGACAATTAATAAGAGACTTCCAGAAGATGGGTAAATAAACAGTGCATTTATGGCCTTCCAGCCTTCAATACAAACATCACATAATTTCACTTTTAAACATTGAGCAGAGGCAGAACTGAATAGTCTCTTGAATATCATTAGTTCATTATGAAGCGATAAGGGACAAAAAAAATCAAACTTCAGGGGCAAACTAGCTAGTGAAGGGAGTAAAAATCCACTATTTGCCTCTGATAAAGAGGGTCAAGTTCCTGATGCTGGTGGTAGAGAGCCTGGTGATTATGACTATTAAACATAGAATTTTGGACGTGGTTCAGTCTTTGTGAAAGAAAAGATTCAGCTATTTTCAGGAAAGCTATTATTTTATCTGTGTTTGTGTGGCTTACATTTATCACTGGACGGAATTTTTGAATGTAATTTAATTGATTTTTAAGCATTTTTTGTAATATTGTGGTACAGACAATATTTGTGGGAAATAATAGATATTTTGCTTCTAAAATATTCTGCCGTTGCATTCCTCAAAACTAGATACGCTCTACGTAAGCTCCAATCTACGATATAGCTCGAAATCCAGGTCGAACAATAGCAACCTTATCTAGGCCGCTAAATATGGCTCCGACATTGTTTCGACCGTTTTATCAAGTCTATTTGCGGCGGAGACTACAAAGCATCGCCTGAGACCGATAAGGGACTCCTTAAAGACCGATAAAGGGACTCGGTTCAAATTATTTTCTGGAGTTTATCTTGTTGAGAGTTATGCGGAGCTTTGGAGCTTTTAGATGCATTCATTAAGATTCTTTAATGTAATAACTTTGTAGAAGGAATCAGGTGGTTACGAAATTTTGAAAGGAAAATGAGAGGCATCTTCTAAAGGCACCGCGTATTTGTATCGTCTTTAGGAGCTTTTGTATTTACTTAAGATTGATAAAATATATTGAAATAAAGAATAAACTTAGTATTGTTTTAAACTTTCATGGTCACTAACATTAAAAGACTGCGAAAGAGGGTGGACCGATATGTCTACCAATAATCTCACCCGCTAGATTTTCAGTCACATCCGTGATAATGGCGCTTCTGTTAGTACCGAAATGAAAATTAAAATAAAACATCGGAGGCTCGTAAATAATTATATTAAACTTTGTCTTACTTACAAAATAATAGTCAAGTATGAATCTACCCAAAAACGAATTTAAAAACTTGATCTAATTAAGTATTGATATACCGACTTACTTCTATCTTTAGTACCTTTTGATACTTCAGTATTTGGGTAAACACAGTGGTCCCAAAACATTACAAGACCATTGATCTAAAAGCACATCGTAAATTACACTAACTAATCTGACCCGAAAGCCTAAAATTTGACCAAAAGTGAAACTTTAATTTGTATGTAAATTCTGTCGGAACGAAGCTTGTTTATGAGCCGACAAGAGAGACATAACGCCGACAAGATAGACATATTTTATACGTAAAAAATTGGCCAAGTGCGTGTCGTGCCACGCGCAGTGTAGGGTTCCGTAGTAGTCCGTGTTAGCACAGGAAGGTAGAAGATGAAAAAAAATTATCCCCACTTTACATGTAGGGGAGGCTATACTAAAAAAAATTTTTTTTTCGAAATATTATTCTACCGTTTTGTCAGCTATGTACATACCTCCACAAAATTACAGCTCTCTAGTGCCAATAGTTTCCAAGCAAAACCTCGGACAGACAGACTTATCGAAACTATAAGGGTTCCTTGTCAGGACTACGGAACCCTAAAAATGGCGGCTAAACAAAACGAATTGTGCTCTCACACGCAGGCTTTACACTTGGGGTTAAAATGGCCTTGTAGCCTGGAAACATGGTGGAAATTACGATGAAAGCTTGTTTAGTAAATAATAAAGAATTTTCTTGTTGTTACCTTGAAATACAAATGAGAAAAGAACCAAAGATATTTTAAGATAATATTTTAGTAAGCAGTTGTAACAAAAACTTAACCTATTGATTCATAAAACAGTTTAAGGACTATGACGAACGCTTTAAACGCCATTTAAACTCTACCATAATTACTTTAGTGATGTAATTGATATGAAAAAACTTTATAAAGAACTAATTTCATAGTTAGTAGTCAGGTTTCCCAAAAAATAATTTATAAAATCATACATGACTTTAATTAATGTACGAGTATGTGGATTTTTTAAAGCTGGCTCGAAACCACTTTCAATATATTCAGTACAAAGTTCTAAATATAGCCAAAAAACTAGTATAACAACAAGTTTTAACACTTTTACTTCCGTCCCTTCCACTAAAGCAAATAAGTTCAAATCTTTATGTAAATACGTCAATTTGGTTGCCGTAGCCCAGTGGCCTGGTTGAGGGCTGGTTTAGATAGTTCTGAAAGTGAGTCTCTACAAGGTCGTGTAAAACGCTTTCTATTGGCACTACGATTTACATCACTGATAACGGAAAATAACTGAGATTTTTAAGAAGATAAGCCCTTGGTGTAGGAGAGATCGTTAACTACAAATATAATCCTGTAAAATCTTTAAAAAGAGGCTGACAGTAGTGACTGAGTTTCTTGCGCTGCTTCTTCTTAGCAGTGACAGTATTACTGTCCCTAAGCAGTGGTAGAGTTGAACTGTGTAAAAGTACTACTTGCATAAATAAATGTTATGATTTGAAGTCATCAATGGCTCTTCCAAATTAAAAGTTTTGAGCACAACATCAGTTGAAAGTTTGCAAGACTTTTATCATAAAATTTTCCATGTGCCTTCTTACAAACAGACTCCTAATTTAGGTTCAAAATGTCCTATTAAAAAGAGCCCTAAAATTCTGAAGTCATATATTTTTTTTGCAAATTATATGCTTTTACCCTTTTTTAAATTTCCCAGTTTAATTTTAACCCTTCCACTATACACTTTAGGACAACAAGGTCAAGGCCAGTGCTGATATTTCGTATTATCAGTAACTACTAATAAATTGGATGGTGGTGATGTCGCCTATTATAATTTACTTCGCGAAACTGAACCTTTTTACACATTAAAGGGAAATGCGAAAGTCTTTTATTCATACGTTTTGGGTTTATAGGTGAAGTTTTTACGCCGTCACAAAGAAAACATGGCTTCTTATCACGCGATAAAACGATTACAGCGACCAAGACTATACGGTGAAACAGAGTGAAACTTTAATGGAAACCTTGAAAAAAGTAGACATTTGTTTTATTTACAAGCACTTATAACTTTTTTGTTTTATTTGAATAATACTTTTTATTGATACATTTTAATTTCTCAATAACTTTACAATTAAAACAGGAAGTAAATGAGAAATATTACAATTTTGTTACTAAAGAAAAATAAAGAAGTTCTGAATAAAGAAAATTAAATTTAAAAATAACTACATATAACTGCGGCACCAGTGTTTATGGCTCAATGTGAAAAAAAATAATAAGTTTAAAGGGACAGGTACATATTATCTACATAAAAATAACATTTAAGTATAGGAAGATAATGTAGTCGTGCGTTAACTACAAGTTACGTAAAGTCAAACGCCATTAGCCATAAGACAATGCATAACGCTGCGCTCGCGCACACGATGTAGTGAAATTCGGCTGCGACTTATTGCCACTGAGCTAAGGTCGTTTTTGAGGTAGGGCTGTCGGAAAATAAGTTTTCACTAGGAAGAAGCGACGTCGATGGCACATCAAGCTTACACTGTGGCATCTTCATCAATTTTAAGTGCTGTTTTGTACCGAAAATATGTAGCCTTTAGATGGAAAATTACGAACCCAAAAGGAGAGTATTTTTACTTCTACTATGGCTTAGACACCATGGAATTCGCTTGTTAAGATTCTACCTTGTGTTTAAGAAGAAACGTATTTTACAGATTAATTAGTAATTCAGTCTGAATCAGGCTAATATTTTTCAACTACCTTTTTTATATAAACAGCTTCTTCGGTCTATGATTAGAATTCTTAACAACATTAAGGTGGTCAGTCGGTAAAATTTTAAGTCAAAAATAGCCTAATTTCTACTTACGTGCCTCCATTTTAATACCTTTTTTATTGTATTTTTTTTAGTCTTTTACTTCAGTATTTCGGTGGCAACCCTGATCTCAAGACCTCCGGATTAGTCACACAGCCATTCAGGCTCACGGCCAGCCGCCTTAAAGGCACACAATCGCATACAAGCACAAAACCTTCTTTAGTCCTTAATGCATTGTGATAACGACGATTTTTCAACAGCAACAAGTAAATAAATCAAAGTTTTCCATACCAAATGAGCTGCTATTTAATTCATTTGCCAGCTCTATGTAAGCACTTGAAATAATAAATATTCCAAAAGATAGATCACAGCACCAATCACAGCACAAACATGAATACTATGAGTACAGAAACTATCGCAAATTACAAATAAATATTTGGGTGAGATGATACTAAATTAAATTATTAATTTTGTTACCTTATTTTTTTTTGGATATTTACAACATTTACCGTAAAGTACTATAATAGATTTATACTTCTCACTATTGTACATAAATGTTGTTAAACACAAATTATTATTCTAAACGACATATTACTAAAGTGGTGGCCTTTTTAACATTCTTTTTTTTACAAGCAAGAGAAGCATGAGAATTACTAATTTATAATTTTTGTTCAATGTTATTCTAACTTTTATCTAACTTACCATAAAAGCACATTGACAGCTAAAATATTTATAATATCGACGTGGCTAAGATGAGAAATATCAGGCACGGTCCGAGGATTATTGATTAAAAAACTTAAGCATTCGCGTCACGTTAAACTGCCTATTGGAATTCCTTTGCCACAAAGCTTTAAAAAATAAAAACCATTCAACTTTCAACCTTCGACTGTTTTAATAGAGAAAAAATAATTTCAAAAAAAGAACCCATATCGTATTCCGAAGCCGTTTGAAATTGTGTCATATGCTTAACGGGTTACAATCCAAATCTGTTTGAGTGTGCAATGACAGTAGTATGCG